AAAAACAAAATGTAGATAATTAAGGGTACTTAAAACCTATGCTCTTATTGAGATGACAGAAGAGATTACACTAATGCTAATTAAGTTAGATGACTATCAAATCTGAATAAAACTAGTTAAATTTAAAGAACTAAATGTTTCTTTTAAACTAATATATAAGAGCACGGACACAGTCACTTAAGATGGACTCCATTTCTTCAGAAAAATCTAAAGTATTGTCGACCGAAATCTCTCTTACATTTAAGATTTATTAAAGTTTAAATTGTGTTGGACCAAAATATCTAATACACCTGGAAATGGATACTTCTAATTACACTGTGAGAATAATGAATACTTCTAGCTATAATTTTATGATGATTTTCTCCCCGCTAATCGTGGTTATTCGAAGAAATTTGGCTATTAGCCAAGCTCTATCGCAAGTTAGATACTCTTATTACAATTTAATGATAATAGGCTAATATGTACAAGGGTCTTCAATGAAGACATCAAAATTAAACTACTGTCTGCTTATTATGAAAATTATGGAGAAAGGATTTGGATAAATGTTACCTTAGCTGATAGTATCATGTTGAGAATTTTAATTCTCCTCTCTGCTGCAAAGAATATATTGAAATAATTTGCAATTCAGTGCTTGTTTCAATTGATTAAGTTTCTACCTATTATTAATGGTTGGCTCCAATTAACACTTATACATTCAGAGTTAGGATATAGGAGTTATATTTTAATTCTAACTTTTATATAAAATTTAGAGATTAAATCCAATAGATTAGCTTAGAAAGATATGGTGTACTTTTAATAGCTTTAGGTAAATTATTACAAAAATAACCCTGTCCAGCTTTAATAGAAAACTTAAGATGATTTCCAAAATATGAGATATTCAGAATAGATAAATTTAGCTTGATTATCATTGATTGAATTTTTTAAACTTTCTATACTTAATAATTTGATTTTAATGATCTAAGAATGAAAAACAAGGTTTAAGAAGACATCAATACCCTCAAGAAAAGTAGTTAATTAAACTAAAAGTTAATGCAATTTCATGTAAATTAACATCAGACATTTATGAAACTCTAAATTGTTTAAGGATTCCAGGTTTTTTTTATTAATGAACAGGTATTTCATATTCTAAAGGTGCGTTAATTAACTCCAGCAATTTATATAATAAATAACCTACAAATCCAAAATTTATTAAACATATAGGCTTAGTTATAATTAATAAATTATCAATTAATTCACAAATTGATAATTAATGATGTTCATAACTTAGCTATATCTTAATCAAGTAGAATTTAAAGTTCCATAAATATTTATCAATATGATCAATCACCAAGATGATAAGATTCATAAATTCATAATTAATTTATTTGATTAGATGACATCCAAGTGGTTATTTTATCTAATGTAAATGATTGTGATAAAAGATGAATAAGAACCAAAGCAGATAATTCTAATTTGGTTGCAACCTTTCTTAACAATGGAATATATCAAATGCAGATCTAGGTGAGAAGTTGTATGAAAATACTAGTTAATACTATATAGTTTGTAAAATTGGTATTATTTCGGAAACCTAGGTATAATCAAGATGTTTATTGCTTGATAAACTTCGTTGAAGTTGCAATCAATAATTATTTGCAAATAGGTATTTCAATATTCCCTTAGTGGAAAATACTCTGTCTTAATCTCAAAATAGAATCATTATTATGTATGTTCTATGTAATAAATAATTGTTGCGTTAATACGGAAGGTAAACTTGTTAGCTGTAAATATTAAATGAAATGGCAAGAAGAAAAAATAAGTTAACAAGAAGTTAAACCTATTTTCTAATTTTACTTAGAATAAGGTTGAAATTACTAAATCCCCAAATGACCGGGCCTTTATAAGGCAAGAGATTACTATGTCCAAGAAGTTGAAAAATACGACCTCCTTACGAGGATTTTTAGATTATTGAAGTTAATGAGGTTTCTCAAATATGGATTGAAGTTCAATGAAGGCCATAGTTTGATTATTACTCTAAATCTTACATATTTTTTTCCATTATTATTGTACGAGTAGCAGAAGCAACAGGGAAGAAAAAGGATAACAGAAAATAATGAGTTAAAGACTTCATAAATATCAGTGCAAAGTGCGCTAAAAAGTAAAACAGTTATAGGGAAAATCAGTATTTTTAATAATTGGAAGGAAGGATGAATTGTTAAACCTCCTCTCAAATCTGCTAAGAGTTATTTTTTTAATAGTGGAATTTAGAAAATTTATGAGAATGACTGCTCAAAGGAAGATTGGATTTACTCAAAGATTTACCAACTTTATTGTAACTTTTGAAAATATAGTTAAATTCATCTCTTTATTCTAAGACATAATCTTCAAGACTGATAGACAGCAAGGAAAACAATACATTTGAAGACATCACAAACTTATAAATAAAGTTAATTATTGTATAAGCAAAGTATAGAGCCAATATATTTAATAGGCTCCAAAAAACAATAGGATATTTGTAAAGCTTTCCCTAAAGAATCAATCTCATGTTCGAGTGACTCACTTTTTTTTGATATTTAATATAACACTTAATTATATCGAATAAGAATACCTAATCTAGAATTAAATTAAGTTTAATTCAACCAGTTCTTGGAGAAATGTTAACGAAAATATGCATAGCGCAAGTGTTGTGCTTTGGAACAAGTATTAAAGCAGAGTGATTAAGAAGTCTAATGTATTTAATTAATAATATACTTATAAAGATGTACAAGGTTTCTCAAACTTTTTGATTTCTAATGAGTCAATATTTTATAATGTAGAGAATCCATTAATTATTTAACCTTCTATTTTCAATATGAGAGTTAATCTGGCTTTAGAGCCATTTACTTTAGAAACATGTGCTTAATTCTCCAAAAATCAAGTAAAATTACTCTTGTCAACATCCTCAAACTACTTATCTATGAAGAAATAACAATTTTGAATCTAACAGAGAAAAAAGAGCATGATTGTCCTCTGATTGAAACATAATTAGCCCTAAATCTAAGTGTACAGAATTAGAACTATTTTAAATTAGAAATGATGCTTTCACATATTCCTTATTAAGCCATCTTCGATATACTAAGATCATTTTGTACAGGATTCACATTAAGTACAGTTTAAATTATTTGTTATAGATATAAGGTTTAAAATGGCATCTCATTATTTGCAATTTGAAGTTGATTAAGACTAAACCTATCCATCTGTAAAAATTCAAACAATGCATAAGGTAAACTTTGTTAAAGAAATGTTCTCCTTGATATTTCCAATAGTCCCTTAATCGAGCAATTAGTTCATATAGTATTGGTTAAAATGCATTTGAATTAACCAAATACAATTATGCTAATATTTCCAAAGGTAGTACTAAAACTTAAATATATTCGCCTTGTTAAGATTCAGATGAATTAGCAAACCAATCTGTTAAATAAGAAGCAATAGTAGAAGTATTGCATCATAAACTGAATTGATTACATTTGATGAAAATTTATTGAGAGACATTATTACAGATGCATCTTTTGTCACAAGCAAAGCAATAATGAACAGCTCATATGAAATTGTACATTCGAGGCAATGACTTGAAATCAGATACAATTTAGAGAATAAAATTTATGCACAAAATAATCTTAACAGAGTTTGAGCACTAATAATATCATTAACTAACAAGGCAACATTTATTAATACATCTAGGATATTAAATAAAATTAGAAGCTGATGATTATTTGTTATAACAGTATTAGAACTTTGAAATCCAATCCAAAGTAACAGTTTACTAAATCAAGAACCAAATATGTCGCCCGTGCATATATATACATCTGGAACAAGGGGTTACATTTAAGGAGTAAGTGGTTAACACAAAGTGAATTATTAAAACATTGAGTTGTTCAAATGTTACAATTAGTTTTTAGGTAGGTACATTCATCATGAAAATTGATCTTTGGTGTAATCGTTTTACAATTAAGTCGTATTAGGATGAATACGATTTAATTGTGGTAAATAAACAGATTTATTAGCAAGATGATAAATAATACTTCAAGCAGTGGGATAGGAAATATTCTTCTTTTCTACTTAAGCCTTTGTGTTAACATTACATTTAATAAAAGAGTTTAAACTGATTGATCAAAATAATTTTTAGAATGTATGATTCACATGCATCTCCATCAGTATTGCATAGAGCTTAAGGAGTGATACATTTTTTATCGTTAGCATGTTTGTTGAATGCATCAAAATAATCTATGCGTAATTCATTAGCATCTCCAAATGATTGAAAAGGTTGTAAGCAATCTTCAAAGGAAGTATCTAGTAAGGTATGGTTGGAATGATGTAGAACAAAAGTCAGTTTAGAATATGCAGTATGCTTCATCGCATTAATAAAAGGCTACATAATTTTTTAGGGGTATTTATAAAGCAGCTGTTTAATCGATTTTGTTTTTATTAAGTAAAAATATGCTTAAGAGCCAATATAAGAATCAGATATAATATTAAAGCACTTAAGTAAAGCAAAATTTTATCTAAAGAGTTGTGCTTTAGTAATATCTTATATTACCTTCTATATGCATTTGAATTATGTATAAGGCCTCATATACATCTGGGAATTTAGTAAAATTGTCATTTTGAACATCCATCAAAAAATGTTTAAAGAAAAAGCAATAGATAGGGTGCAACTATTGAAATATAAACTGCATTGACACTGTGAATTAACAATATTATGATAACCATAGTAACCATAGTAACACTTAAAATAAATGTAAGTAAGCTAGCTAACTATTATTCCTGTTCCAGCGCAGACGCCATCAGAAAAAATACATTTAGGCTGTAAACGCTGCCAGGTTTAAGTTCTAAAAATAAAACTACAAGATGCGAGAATCGAACTATAGATTGTTTTTGAAAATAAAAGCATTATTTAAGAATGATATCAGGACTAAATATTAATCAAGCAGCTAAAAATATATCCATTCTCTGAAACTGAGGTAGTAGATTTGCTACAAGATGAATCAAAAATATGAACAATATGCTCCAGCATAGATACCAGCACTTAGTGTTTGAGTGAAAGCATTTCTGAAAAACTTTTAAGGTAGCAGGAGGGCTGAAATCATTTAAATGTCACCTTATATCATGTCATTGTTGCAGTATTCAAGACCATTGGTGTTGAGCCTATCTCAAGTATCAAATTTTAATATACATTACAATTGGCAATATAGAATTATCTTGAGATTCTGATTATCGATTTTCTGATTACTACATTCCAAAAAACAGAAAGAAATGAAATAAAGGGACATCAACATGGAAGCTAATACTATTGGGTACATAAGTTGTCATGCAAGTTAGACAGGCAGATGCTGATGCATATGTTAATATTAGTCTGACAGATATGTAATAACAAGCATGCATTATTATCCCAGTGACTTTTTTACAGGTTTGATTATCATAATAATATGTATTGATATACTGTTATGAATATTAAACTTTGGTAGCTGCAAAATCATATTATACTTCATTATCCATTTGATACAATTTTTGGATTAAATAGTAGATTTTAAATGCAGTGAAACAAATATGTATCGCTACAAGAAATTCAAAATTAGTAACATATCTGAACACCTAACAAAACAATAATAAGAATAAGTAGCTGAAATCATGATAATTTAGAACCAGAGTTTCATACTTATAGAACTGATTATTGCTGGAATAGATGGTGCATCCAAGGATGAAAATTGTGCAAGTCTTTGATCCTAACATAAAGAAGTTTCACTATATAATTGCGTGCTCATGTGAAACAAGAACTTACATGAGTTATTACCAGTTACAGATTCTTGTAAGAAAGTAGAAGATTTAATAAACCCTATGCAATTTCAAAAGAGATAAAATGGAATTTAACTATGGCATTTTAGAAAGTATCATTTTAATAAAAGCATTAGGTTAGAAAATATCCAAAAATACCACTTTAGCATGGATTTTCATTTTTCAATCATACTACAACAGGAAGTTGTTGGCAAAATAATGAGATCCCTCATTCTATAATCCTCAGAGTGTTTTTAGAACAGTCAGAGAAATTAAATTTAAATTTTTGTGGTGTGAAAATATCTACAGGTTCTTTATTTACATACTCTAGTAGATGCAACTGCCTAATATTAAGAACTTAAGCGTAGACTTATCCATTGCAGGTGTTTGTATTATTTAAAGCAATATCCAGAATTGAATTCACATATACGTTAGTATTGAATCTAGAACAAGGTAAATTACAACCAAAGGCATTTACGATGGTTGGAATCTCTGCAATACAAACTGAACATCAATCTCCATGTTTTTACAAAATGAAACTTGTATTAAATTGAGTTGAATAAACAGCTAGTTAACAGCCACTATATACTCAAGTACAAATATTTCATTGTAAATTAAGTTGGTTATCAAATTAGCTTCTCAATCAATCCCATCTCAATACTTAGAACAAACAGAGCAAACTATAAATATAATTCAAATTATGCTACATTTAAAGCATTAATTAATCATTTTCCCTTATGATAATATCTCTGAATGCAGGAACACCAAGCCTTAGCTCATATTCAGAAAAATTGCTCTAGCAGAATTTGTAACCTATATAAAATAGTTACAAGTTCTCCTATGGTATACAACAAGGAGATGTATCGAAATCGAAAGGAAATCTCAGGAGCCCAATAAAACTTTTCAGAAAATTCATAAAGATACTTACTCTTAACAAATATAGCTGTTTATTGTAACTTGAAAATCAAGGACAATTTGATGGCGAATGATAAAAATTAAGCATCAATATTATGGAGGTATATATTTAATATTCAGGTTTATTGAATAATCAGAATCCCTAATACTATGTCTAGAACTGCTTTATGTGGTTCAAGGATCATAACAGATGTCAAAATTATTACCATATTCAAATAAGGTAGTTAAGTGTGCTTTTGATAAGAAAACATAGTGTGTTAGAATGGTTGATATCAATAAATAGTAATAAATTCCCTGCAATATATTAGAGCTCAGATGAAATATTGAGTATATATAGCTTCATCAGATTCAAGTTCTTGTTAGGGGGTTTAACATGAATCATAAGCATCTTTGCTCTGTTATGATGATAACAGGCTCAACTGTAAGCAACAGATGTCTTACACAAAAAAGATGTTTCAGCTTCAATCAGCAAATTCTTAGGAAGTTTTGTAAAAAGATCCAAAAATATTTAGTAGCATTCCCTGATGCAGCTGTAAAATATTAACATCTAAAAAAAATATCCTCCCTTTTCTGTTCCTTTAATCATTTAAGAACAACAGTTCCTATTCAAATCTTTATCATCTACTTGCAATAGTTTCTTAAAAATCAATCTTTTATAATGATCTTAAAACAGAAGGTCTTTTAGATTTTAAAATAAAAAATATAGTCGATATACACTTTCTTAACATAAGCTCCTTGCTAGCGTAATTAAGTAAATAATCTATCATCGATTCTATGAGCCACATTTTTTAGTTATTTGTTTATTTTATTAATATTCTTGCATACAAATGAGTAGATGTTCTACATTTTAAAAAAAAAAGACATAAATTGTTCAACGTTAATCTAAAAATATAGTTAAAATTTTTGTAATTGATTTATCCAAGCAATCCTTCAGCAAGATGGACTTCTATTTCAATTAGGAGTATTGGTCACTTTTCCTGTCATTCAGTAAATTTTCATCGAATCCTATTTCTGTTTCAGCTATAGTGTTTTTTTATGAGTGCTAGGTGAATTTATAAATTTCACCAAATTGATATTCAAAGGAACTTGAGGAAAGTAATTAAATTGTAGCCTTTTTTGGAGAGATAAAAGTTTGTCGAAATAAATTAATGGACCATTTTGTTTTACTTTGACAGATCTCTAATTAATAATTTGTGGTCTAGGTGAGAATTACATCAAATTTAATATGATATTTATAGATGTAGCAATCAATCAAGAATACTTGTGATTATTTATATTCTAATTTATAAATCTCAGAAAATATTTAAAATCAATACTATTTTAATAGCAATTCTAATGGCTCATAATCTACTTCGATAGATTCTACAGGTTTTACACTTAATCTATTGGTTTCCTTATTACCTTAAAATTCTAATTGATTATTTATCAATTTCCCTCCTAATTGATGGCTTTAGTATAAGATTTATTCTCCAAATTATTATTGTAGGAAAAACTGAATCCTTGAGATTTCGTATAATATGTTATCAAGTCTACATTTTTCTTTAGCCTTTTAAAGCAAATTTCGATATTTATCATCAAGATTATCAATAAGTTGAAATTTATTTATTTATTTATCATTGACCTTAAATAGATTTAGAAAATTTAACCTACAGCCTTTAAATTGAGGATAATACATAGTTATAATATCATGATGCAATTCATTTTCCAGCAAGCAGTTATTATAATAATATGCACAATATTTAATGAAAAATATTAATTGCACTATAGAGCCAATTGAAGCAAGTACTTAACCTAATTATGGCAATGTTACTTTCTCTTAAATAGATATATTATCAATTCTAAACAAGTAACATCCTGCACTCGAAAAATCGTATTCAACATCAGATAAAGCATTTACAATTTCGGATGGAAATGAATTGTCAATTTGTAAATTTGTCATTTAAAAATTATTTAAAAATACATATTGTTTATTATTGCTAAGAAGGATACCGTCATCTATCACAGTTTCTTATTGCTTTAACATAATCTGTGAATAAACTGGTCTAGAATAATCTAAAGCAGTATAATATGATTAAACAAAAACCTCTAAATCTCTTGTAATTTAATTCAATTAGTTTAATTTAACTGTTAGGGTTAACAATCCATGAAACTTCTATAAGTAGTCGTCAATAATGCTTTCTTCAGCACAATAACTTCCATCTATTGCAATAGATGAAGAACATCTGGCTA